TATTTACTCCACTGTTTTAATAGCCGTGAGCTGCAGTTGAACCGTTCACGGGATCAGTTTGGATGAAGAAAGTCGTTCAGGCCATCTGATCCAATCCTTCCCAGAATACCCACTCTGCCATCGCAGCATCTAACTGCTCTTTATATGAGCCAAGTGTCCTGGCCTCAAACATCATTCCTGACAACCTGTTCCAGTCGTTAATTACCCTCCCGGTAAAGAGAAACTTCCCATCGTACCTCTAAATCTATGTCCTCCTGTCGTAATGTCTCGGCGGATTCTAAAGTATTGTTCTGGGTTTACATGTTCAATCCCATTTAAAATTTTACACCACCTCTACGAGGTCCCTTCCTTCTGAGTCATCTCCACTCACTTTGCTCCGACTGTCAGAGCATTGGAAATAAGAACAGGTGAAACCCATTTGACCCATTGAGTCTGTTCTGTCACAGATCGTTCCTTGACCTGCGTATTACCATCCTACCCCCACCCCCCCGTCACGACCCTTGGTAATTATACTCCCCATGCATCTGCTCGAAATTGACTGTATTGGAATATTTTCCGCACAGTTCTGCTGGATCATAAATTTAATTTAAGGCCTAAAGACCTGATGGAATTTCAGATCTCCAGTGGGCTACAACCAAACAACAACAACAACAACAACAACTTCGCGCGGGGTAGTTTCCCGGATCGTGTGTGTAAACAAGGTGAGGTCCTTTAAAATGCACGTAAACTGCAGCGGCATCAATAGAATAGAAAAATCCATTGATCCACCAGGTGGAGTACGAGCTGGATCAGTGTGCAGCTCGACACCGTTCCTGTATATTTTACGCTCGTGAGAATAAAGCTGGTTAAATGTACGTTTCATTTCCAGGGTGATCTCCAGCGCAATTATCTTCATGGATTCCAAATAATGAAGCTAATGACTCCCATTATAGTCACATCGGTTTTGTTCATTCAGATGTTTGGCAAGTATCTGTTTTAAGAAAGGGTTCCCGTCGCTCCCTCTGTTATTGTCAGGTCATTTCCTCCCCGACTGTTGACGTTGAAACCAATTCACACCTATCCGGTAAAATGCCCCTTTGTTAGAGACAGTGCACCACGGGGTCAAAATTTGTAGCATTTCATAATGCATCAACCCACGACTGTTTGCGGGGAGGCCGCTGTGCGCAATTGGCTGCCACGTTTCGCCCACAAAATACACAGTCAATTCACTTTACAGTGTATTCTGTGAAGCGCTTCGAGACGTCTCGAAGACGTGACCAGGCGCGATAGCAAACGCACGGATTCTTATTATTTATTTTAATGCAATGGATATTGTGAAACGGATGTAATGCAATGCACGTCATGAAATGTCACAAATTTAACCCCCTCCCACCCACCTCACCACCCCTTAAATATTTTGCCTGCCTTTTGAATTGAATCGGGCAGAAAACATCTCCTGATCTGATCAGATACACATCCCAACAAACCAAACTTATTTATATACTTTCATAACACAGCTGCTGTGCAAGAAATTCGCAGACCATGAATTGGGAGCCGGGATATTAGGCAATTAGAAAACCAGGCGTAAAGTGAAGCGATTGGTGCGGAGAGGATTAGCTCAATCTAAAAGAGACATCGCCAGTTGAGCCAGGAAATGGTATGGGGGGGGGGGGGAAGTAGATTTGATTCCTGGGCACAGCCAAAAGGAATTAAAGTGGGAGGCTGGAGAGAGAAAAAAAATCTTTTCACAGCGGGTGGTTGGCGTAAAGAATTGCTTGCCACAGGCCGTTGTTGAGCAGAGCCAACAAATTCTTTTTGAAAGGGAATTGGGTCAATACTCGGAAAAGAGGAATACTAAGTACCATAGGGAATGAGCAAGCGAGTGGGATTAGGTTTAGGTGCCTCCTGCGGAGAAGAAACACCAACATGATGGACCGAATATCCTGCTTCCAATATCTTTTCTTCGTCACATTAAGCAACGCAACGAATTGCATTTTTTTTTTTCTTCGCCTCCTTCATGTAGTGTACCGTCTCTGCCACACGCAGACTGTCGGAGGCTGAACAAGGGGTGGGGCTGGGGGTACAGAGGGATGGAGTCACGAAAGATGGGGGCTATAGCTGCTAAAGCCTTGACTATGCATGGGCAAGGCGAGGAGGGACAGAGACAGATTCGCTCAGTGCCAACCTTTGCGATTTCTGGACGCCGTGAAACTACGTGATAACATTCCCTCGGCCTAGGCAGACTGCGTCCAGAATTCAAGGAAATCTGCTACTGTCCGTTCGGGCTAACCATTGCTGTTTACCTTTACAAAGAAAAACATACCGATTTAGACACCTAAATTCGAGCCGTGTGTCTTTGACCTGGATGCAGTTAAACATTGTGAACAGCCTGATGTCAGTACAATCCCTCCCTGGTGGCTGAAAGGAATCTTTTAAGTAGAAATCAATAGCTTCTGTGACCTTCACATCTACAAATAATGCAGTGGCTATCAAAGTGTGTGACTCCAGCTCCCTATGGAACGGATGTCAGACGTCAGCGGCCATGTACCTGGTGAGATGAAGACAATGGAGGCCCATGTGTTCCTCCGCCTGCGCAAAGCAATTTGCTCGTGTCTTGCTTGTCCTCCGAAACAAGGCTATCTCACTTTCTTCGGTGTCTCTCGTTTAATTTCTCTCTCTCTCTCTCTCTCTCTGATATGGCGTTAAACAAAAAATCTTGCATCTGGACAGCGCCCTCAAACAGAATAGTGTCGTAGAGTAGTGTCGTAGCGCGGTGTCTCGGAACAGCACCGAACATTCCCGGGCTTTGTTGCCCGAGAAAAGGGGGAAATGGGAAGGCGATGGTTGATGCGGTCAAAAGCACTGGGGTGTTCAGGCGGGATTTCAAGATGGATAAAGAGGGATTGAGGCAGGAACATTTCAGAGGTTAGGGGCGAATGGGCAGGCGTGGCCACCGACAGCTGAGGGGGACATCCAGGGGGTCGAGCAGGACAGAAAGGGAGGGCGATGGCTTAGGGTGCAAAAGGATTTGCACGTGAACAGTCACTGCAGATATTCGACTGACTTTGAGACCCGACGCCGAGTTCAATCAGGCGTCCGCAGGATTTCGTAACGTCTCCAAAAAGCTTTGGATGTAGAAGGGTTCATTGGGCTCTCATCTGATCTCAACCCCTTCCGAATGCCCATTCCCCACCATGTTTTCCCATTGCAACGTCAAGCTGTTTCTTAGATGAGTCCAGTATCCTGTGCTCCACTTACCCTTAACTTATTCCAGCTGTTGATTGCGCGCAATGTTTAACTGGTTAAACTCCAACACGAGCTCAGTGCACACACGTTGGGGGTCTGTACACTTTGGTTCTTGGCCAAACTGTGTCCAAACTATCCAGGATTAGTTTTTATCGGGGTGGGGGGTAAACCGGGTTTCCGACACATGCGGAAAACCATCACCATGCTTAAGAGTATCAAACCAAGCGGTGTACGTCCCTCTGGGAAGAGAGTGTGGACTCCATGTTAGACAAATGGAAATTTCCAACCCTTCTGCGTGATTCTCATTAGAAAATCTTAAGTAAGGTGATGGATTTACTTGTGTGTGGGACAAGTAGGCTGACCAAGAAAAAAATGTAGATGAACTACTGTTTCAGTCATTGTGAGTTAGTGCTTTATGTTTAATTCAACGTGATTAATGTGTGGTAATTACACCTAAAGGAGGATTTCTATCAACATAACTGAGCTGCTGAAACCGAAACATTGACAGATTTGGTACTGAAGCCGATCGCCTGTGACAAACTAGTACTGTCCACCCCACTAAAAAGAGCAACGTTCATATACCGGCCTCAGTTCCTCCTCAGGAGAAAGCAGCAAAAAGTAAATGGGAAGGGGAGATAATAATAATAATAATAATAATAATAATAATCCTTGCATTTGATACAGCGCCTTATCACGTCTTCGAGATGTCTCAAAGCGCTTCACAGCATATACCGTAAAGTGATTTGACCGTATATTTTCTGGGCGAAACGCGACAGCCAAATGGAAAGCAAAAGCTGCGCCCTCTTTCTCCACCACCCCACCCGCCTCCCAACCCCCCCCCACCACCAAAAAAAATTTCCACAGCCCACCTAACTCCATGGAAGAATGAGTCGACATTTCATTTGTGAAGACGATTGCATATTTTCCAGACATTTTCCAAAATAAGGCATTTTCCTTGCACTTGAAACTTCCGGAGGCCCAAAGATTCCCCATCACTGCTGTAAGGTGTCAGCCTGGCTCAGCTGGTACCTTTCTCACCTCTGCGTGATCTGCTTCGTGGCTGCGCGCATAGACGTTGCTGCGCACAAATTGGCTGCCTCGTTCACCTGCAAAAATACGCAGTCACTACACTTATAGAACCATAGAATTACACAGCACAGAAGGAGGCCATTCGGCCCATCGTGTCCGTGTTGGCTCCATGTCCAATTCAATCCTCCCACTCCCCCGCTCTCTCCCTGTAGCCCTGCAAACTTGTCCTCCCCAGGATTTCACTTCACTGGTAAAATCCCGTGAAGCACTTCGAATGCAACCTCGACTGTGTGATAAGGCCCTATGCCAAATTGCAGGTCTTATTATTGTTTACTGTATAACAAGGGTTCAGGCGGAATCAGTCGGGGAGATGCGAACTCACGATTCTGCATTGAAAGTTGATTAGTTTGCTTTTCGCTCGTACATCTTCATTTGCATGTGATGCCAATACCAACATCCCATTCTTACATTAAAACTCCTCACAGTGCCTGCGCTCGACATTCCAGGTTACCAACAGAAGGGTCGCAAAATCTCCGTGATGCGGGACAATGTAAACTCACCCATTTTTGAGCGGGTAACGTCCTCTGGAGACGCAGCATGATGCAGCAGGGAAGCAACTTCGGACACGAGAAATAGATCTGATTAATGTTGCCCAACCACACGGGCAAAATTAATCAAGGAAGTGCTGTATCTTGTTTTCCCCGGTTTTATTTTCGCTGTTCCTGAAGGGACGGCTCATTCTGGAGTGCGGTCCTGTAGCTTAGTGGTTAGAGCACTCGCCCCTTGCGAGCGAGAGGGCCTGGGTTTGATTCCCAGTAGGGCAAAACGTCGCACAAGTTTCCTTACTCCACGCGCCTCTATTTACCTGGTAGTGATTCGTAGTGATTATTAATCGATTGGCGGATCGCTTTTCCGGGGATAATAATTCCTTAAAAAATACTCAGTCAAGGAAATGAGGAATTCCACCTTTAAAATTGTTCTGGAGTTATTTATCAACTCAAAGGAAAGCGTCCGGGTTAAAGAAAAAGGAGAAAACAGCAAGAATTTGCATTTGCTTTCATGTCGGATGAAAAATCTCAAAGAGCACTAAGCAGAGAAAAGGGAGATTTAAAGCTATTGACAATAGGCAAAGAGATATGACTTTAAGAGGGGTTTGAAGGAAGGGTTGATCTGCTTAGGTGGCACACACAAGTGGGAACTCCATCCGTGCGGAGTCCTGTGGCTCAGTGGTTAGAGCCCTCGCTTCGCAAGCGTTTAGTCGATTGGCAGATCGCTTTTCCAGGGGTATTAATTCCTTAATAAAAATCGGTCACTTCAATCCACGACTGTTTGCGGGGACACTGCCGTGCGCAATTGGCTGCCGCGTTTCGCCCCACAAAATATACAGTCAGTTCACTTTACAGTCTATCCCGTGAAGTCTTTGAGACATCTCAAAGGCGTGATAAGGCGCTGTATCAAATGCAAGGATTATTATTATTGTCCTGTCAGTTTAAAGGCACTGGGCAGCTTTATTCACAAACAAACTGAAATGATTTTGCGCTTCACAACTGTACTTAAGTAGCACTACGTACAGTCTCGGCAATATCTGACTTGTGGCCAATCCCTAAGGTGGAAACATGAGCCAGAAGAACAGTGGGACTCACACCTGTTTCTTTTTAGTCTTTGAAATCGAAGGAACTTTTCCCAATTATAAACTCCAGCCGTCAAGGTCGGCAAATGGGAATTCCACCCCCGTCTTCAGAGTATTGCAACTTCCTAATTCTTAAGGGATTTTTTTTTTCCACAGTGATCGGCAAAACTGGCATTTGATCCATTATTCCCAGCGTGATTCTGATCAGTGGGGGTGCGAAGAGCGGCAGCTCGTAAATACAGTATTTGTGCGTTTTTTTTTACGGCATCTTTTAAAGTCCGGATGCAACAATAATAATAATTTACCCGGCTTTTGTTTTCACATGATCTGAGGTGTTGCCAATAAAGAGCAGTAAAGCAGCTGCCATCCTCATTAATCTGGTGCCATCTGGTGGCCGTTATTCGTGTGAATGTGACCCACCGTATCCAGCAGGGACCAAACACTTTAAACGTTCCTAGACACTTTGCTCATGTACCTTCAAAGATGCTCGAAGACGACGATTGTCCTTTCTTTTTTAAAAAAAAAATTAAATCTAGCCGTGTCGAGGGTCACGGTAAACAGCGAGATGTCAAGCTCGTCTCGGAACAACTAACTGGAGAGGCTTAAACGACTGGAATGGCCGCTTTCTATCTCCGAGCGGAAACGCGGTGGGATCCTTATTGTACGAAGTGACAGGTGATCGCGCTCTGTTCTTGCTCAGCACAGACCTGATGGGCAGAATGGCCTTGCTCTGCGCTGTAAAATTGTGGGGTTCATTGAACACTTTGCCTGTGTTTTGGCCAACAATCCTCCAGATGAAGTGCCACACCTAAGCTGCAAGTATTATTATTGTTATTATTATTATTATTATTATTATGAAGCGATCACTGCTTTCCTCCATTTTGGGGAACATCCCTGGCATTTGCCGGCAAAAATTATCTCTGCGTTTGACCAAAAAATTATCTATGAAGCGTTTTGAGACATTCTGGCGTTCACAGGCAAGGCACTACGTCAGAGCCAAGGATTATTCCTTTTTTTTCAAAACAAAAAAAATTACAGTTTAGTTCCTCGCACTGTTTTCTGGGCGACAAAATCAGTTGAATTCAAATTCCCAGAAGTCGCGCTCGACCAATACACCTGCGAGTGTCATGACATAAAGGGGTCACCCAAGCCCTGGAGGCAGAACAGAGGATAGTAACACTGAGGCTGATGTTTTTTGTTAAGAGGGATGAGCTATAAGGAATGAACTCCGTAGTCCTATTATAGGAACAATAATAATCTTTGTGTCTGATATAGCATAGCGCCTTTCATGTTGCGAGAGCATCTCAAAGCGCTTCCAAGGATTTTCTGTAGATAGAGCCCACAAACAAAGAAACAATGCGCAGTACACAGATGGGATCCATACCAAAGCTAAGTAAGTATTGTAAATAAAAGAAAAAAAAAGGAAGCTGGCTGGCTGGCAGTTGATGAGTAATTTAACCTATATTTTAGTTGTGTGCTTATCATGAAAACTCTGCGAGTCTTACGAGTGTCGGCCTGGCTCAGTGGGTAGCTCTCTTGCCTGTATAAGTCAGAAGGTTTGTGGGTATAAGTCCCGCATCAGGTCTTTGAACTCACAGCCTACACGTCGCAATGCGGTGTTGGAGGTGCCATCCGAAAGAGACGTTAAACTAAGATCCCATCCATCCGTTCAGGTGGATGGGAAAGATTAACCCCGTGGCTATTGGAAAAGAGAAGGGAGTTCCTCTCGGCGTCCGGGCCGACATTTCCCTGGATAAAACTGGCGGGCATTCAGGCAAACAGGCAGGAAGGCGGGTGGTCTGTTCCTCGTCTTGCTCTTGGCGCGTATGGCTTTATTCTTCACATTGGGCGTTTGCACTTACAGCTAAGCCATCAGAATAAGCTCGTACCTCTGAAGCGAATACATTGTCATTTCTCATGAATGAAACCTTGCCTAGAAGAAGCGCAGCCTTAAATAATTCAGGGATTCCTTTCAACCCAACCCCTGGCGTTCACGCTTGCTGACAGAATCAAGTACAAATCGGTAAAGATCAGCATTCGCAGAGCTTGCCCGGATTCAAACTGGCCGACTGAAGTTTCACAGGAATGATCAATCTAAAGTTTAACAGTTTTTTTTTAATATATAAACCGCCTTTTTTGTCGAAAAAAAGTCTTGCCATTACAGACGAAATCATAATCGCCGGGAGCTGCTATTTTCCCCAAATCAGTCCGCAACATTCCTACAGATTGTATTTCGTTTCGGGGAGCGTGTGTGGGGGCGGGGTGGGAGGGGGCCAGATACCAGGCTGGTGATTTTTAAGGTGAATTTTAGTTTGTTGAAGCTATGAAATTTACAGGAACAAAAGCCGCATTTTGGGAGTTGAAGGCACTTTCAGGAACGGGAGGTAAAGTGTTGCCGAGTTCAGGGAAGCGGCTGCAATTGATTGACAGACTGGCGTTAATGTGAGTTCTCTGGAAGCTGGAAAAAGAGTACTCTGAAGCATGACAGGGGCTGGGGGTGGGAGGTGTGGGGGTCTGTGCAAATAGATCTCTCTGTGCCAGATATCCTTAGCTGACAAGTGACCGGTATTCAAGCCTTGCTGCAACCGTGAACAGTCACTAGAAGGTCCAAGATGTCTACCCAGGTTGACGTCCTGTTCATTCATAATATCCCTCCCTGAGGTGAAGGATTGACCCACATCTGCCCGTTTCAGTCCTGTAGCTCAGTGGTTAGACCACTCGCCTTCGCAAGAGAGAGGACCTGGGTTTGATTCCCGGACAGTATGTCGGAATCCGGTTGTTAGTCGATTGGCGGATCGCTTTTCCAAGGGCAATAATTAAAGATAAATTGGTCACTTCAATCCACGGCTCTTTGTGGGGACGCTGCTGTGCGCAACCGGCTGCCGCGTTTCGCCCTCCAACATATACAGTCAATTCACTCTCCAGGATATCCTGCGAAGCGCTTTGAGACGTCTCGAAGTCGTGATAAGGCGCCGTATCACCTGCGAGGGATGTTATAAGAGGAAGAATTTACAGAGCAGCAAATCGTGAACGGGAAGCTATAACCTCTCAAACCGACACTAACCCAGCCCTCGCCTCTAATACCCCAGTCCAAGCAGCCACAGCGTCTCTCTCAGCCCGTGCTATTTGTGCCGGGCAAACCCAAGTGGGCCTTCTGTGGGAGAAGCTTACATTTACACATAAATGCACAAAGATAAAAGGCAGAAGAGACCGATTATTACATTGGACAATAAAGCGAAGAGAGGAAAAAGGATTGTCATCACTCTGAGGGCGTTGGTCTCTTCTAACCAGCAGTTTCCCCGAGCATTCGGCAGATTAAAAATTACACGGATGGATGCAGAACATTTAGATTTCTTCCCAAGGCAGCTCTGAGGTTAGAGACAAAGCAAGTGAAGGCAGCGCTGCTGTTCCTGCGTTAAAACTAACGTTTTCAGGGCACAAGATGAGCAGAGAACAACCTGCCCTTCCTGTCAACAAGAAACTATCAAAGGCCCAAGCTCAGGTGTTCCGGTTGCTGCCCAGAGCAGAAATCGCCACAGGAATCTTCCCTTTTTTTTTTCTCAGCACAATACATAGCACGATATCCCCGGACTTTCGTTCGTGATGCAAAGTTGAAGAGTAGAACGACAGAGCGGAAGATCCATTCAAGCATCAGGGCGTCAACCTCATTCCTTCCACAGACCTCTGTAGTTTTACCGCGTACAATGTCGTAACAGTAATGACCATCCTTGCAATTGATGCAGCACCTTTCACGCGAGGAGGATGTCTCGGAGCGCTCCACAGGATTCGCTGCGAAGTGAAGTGACTGGATATTTTTGTAGTCAACATGTGTGAAGTGACTGGATGTTTCTGTCGCCAATTTGTACACGCGCTGTCCTGCGAACAGCCATGAGCCGAATGATCAATTTTATCTGGAGGAGATTGTTGGCCAGGAAACTCCCTTCTCTTTTCGAATAGGGATCGTGGGATCTTCGACATCCGACTAAACAGACGAGTTGCCGTTTGACACCCAGGGATCACTGAACCTTTTTGTCGTCGCCTTCTTCTTTCTGTTCCGCAACCGGTTTTCAATTCAGCAAACTAATTTGCCATTAATTCCGTAAGCTTTAACCTGCTTTCAAGGTCTCTCGTGGGGAAATCTTATCAGATGTCTTCCGAAAATGCGAATAAAATTACATCCACTGGATAGCACTG